CCCTCTCCCTTCCTCTCTGAAATCAATAAAGAAATATATATATATTTTTAAAAAGAGTGTGAGGGAGCCAGGTCTGGGGGGGAGGGGACAGGAGCTTCCCAGAGGGCCCATGTGTTAGAAGGCCTCACGTGCAGGCAGGCAGGAGCAGGGAGCAGGGTGCGAGGTGCAGCTGGGAGTCGGGGGCAGGATCCAGAGGACCCTGTAGCTGACGTGCCACCCTGTGGAGAACCATCGCAGCTCTTGAAGCGCGGGGTTGACAGGAGCAGAGGTGTGTGAAGATCACTCCAGCGGAGTGTGGAGAACGGGCTGGAGAGGGCACTGGTGAGGAGGGGGAGCTGGGGCCATGCTCAGCGGGTTGTGGGCAAGGAGAACCCTGAGAGGGTGTGCTGGTCAGTCGTCGGCTCCAGGAGACCCAGGAAAGGCTTGGGTCCCCGTGGAAACCCAGGCTGCCTGGCGTGAGAGGAGCACATGGGCTCCCGTTTTGATGACGGCACAACTATCCATCGGTTTTGGGAGCAGACCGCAGCCTGAAAGCCATAATACACTGCGTCTCCCCTGGGAGCCGCTGCTCATCCCTCCCTCTCGGTCTGTCCTGGGCGGACCCTCTGTGCCCCCTGCTGGAAGGTGGTGTGTGCAGCACCTAACGGCCTCTCTCCCTGCTCAGGAGCAGCTGTACAAGATGCAGCACTGGCCGCAGGTGTACCCTCCGCCCTCGCACCCGCAGCGCACCTTCTACGCGCACCACCCTCAGATGCTGGGCTTCGACCCCAGGTGGATGATGATGCCTTCCTACATGGACCCTCGGATCCCGCCCACTCGCACCCCCGTGGATTTCTACCCCTCGGCGCTGCACCCCTCGGGTAAGCTGTGTGGGCTGGTGGGCCCCGCACGGGGTGAAGGATGTTGCCTCGGGAGTTAGGGCCACAGGATTCCACTCCGGCCTCCTCTGCAAGTCACAGGACAGTCTGGACTTCAGCGTTCTTGTCGGCAAAATGAGGGCGGTAATAGCATCTGTCACGGGGAATTGTCGGGAAGCGACCTGCGAGCATGCGTCACCAATGGCTTAACTTCTGTGTCTCTTCCATGTTGTTTTGTCCCTTCTTGTCATTCTAACGGTTCTTCGCGCCTTCTCTGTTTCCCTTGATTAGTCTTCCCCAGGGTTTGTTTAAAGCCATTTTTGAAAAGCAGCTTTGGATTTCTTAATTTTTCAATTTTATTCTTACTTCATTAATTTCTTTTCCCCCCTATTATTTCCTTTGAAATTATCCTGTTCTTTCTCTAACTAATTGTGTTGGATGCTTAGCTCATGTAATTTCGGCTTTTCTGACAAGTATTTCAGTATCACCTGAGCTAGGAACGCCTATGAATTTCAGAGAAAGCACGTTTGCTCTCACACAGTTCTCAAAGTTAGTCTGATTTTGATTTACCTTTTTTGATTATGATTTTTTTAATGATGTAAATTTTTCAAATATATAGAGTTAGAATGTCCTTATGGTGTGATTTTCTAAAGTGCCTGCTTTATGGTGAATATGGGCTGCGGGGCAGAGGCCGGGGGTGAGTGCCGTTTCCGGCCTTGAGCAGCACCCGGCTTTGCTGCTGTGGAGCAAACCGCAGACGGCAGCGCGGGGCCCTCGCTCTCCAGTGCAGCTATTCTTAGAGCAGGCGGCGGGCGGGTTTCACTCCAGGGCGGAGGCTGCCCACCTGGCCCCGAGCTAGACTGCTTGATGTTTGTTGAGATGTTCTCTGTAGCCTGTAACATGGTTACTGGTTTCTGTAAACATTCTCTGTTTGCTCGAGAAGAATAGACGTTCTCTAAGTGGCTGTGAACAGCTTGCTGGTTGTCTGTGGGAACAGCTGAGTCATCGCGGGTGTTCGTTCCCTTACTCAGCCGCTCAGAGGTGTGTTCAGGTCCCGCTGTGACCGCCAGCCTGTCCGGTCCTGTGAGCCTGGCATTGTCTGCTTCCTCTCCCCGGAGGCGCACCCGTGTTACCACGGATTGCGCTTTCAACCTTTAATGTCTACTTTGTCTGATAGTAACAGCATTCCAGTTTTCTTTCTGAGCACCCCCTTCAAACACAGCAGGGACTGGTAGGGACTGGGACACACAGAACCAGCTGCTGCCGAGCCCCCACGACTGTGCCGAGTGGGGTCTCTCCCACCACAGGCCCTGGCGGGGACCACACACAGCGTCCTTTTTAATATTTTTTTATTGATTTCACAGAAGAAGGGAGAGGGAGAGAGACAGAGAATTATCAGTGATGAGAATCACCAATCGGCTGCCTCCTGCAACCTGGCCACGTGCCCTGGCCGCGAGTCAAACTTCGACCTCCTGGTTCATAGGTCAACTTTCAACCACTGACCCCCACTGCCCGGACCAGTTCTCTTCTGATTAGGGACCATTTGGCACCCTCTTTCCACTTTGTGCGGCAGCCTCTCCCAGCCCCTTGGGGACTGTATCTTTGTACAATGTGTGTGATTTCACCCGCTCCAACAGTCTGTCCTTTAGAATTAGTGGGATTATTATGTTTGGATTTTCTACTCCGATTGTGTGCTTTCTGTTTGTCCCTCTTTGCTATGCTTTTCTTTTACTTTTTTTTTGGATCAAGTTTTCCTATCCTTTTTGTTTTCCTTCTACATTCTGTGTTTCTACTATCTTAGTAGTTACATTAAATTCCAACATGTGCCCTCGACTTAGCAAAGGCTGGTCAATACCTTCACCCCAATCTGACTCTGAGTACCTCATCGTCACTTCCCTGTTACTGCTGCCTGGACCTTTGGTTTTCCCTTATGTTTACGCCCACCAGGTGGTTTTGTGGTTCCATGCAGTCTGCGCGTATTCCCTCTGCTGGTGTGTTTACAAGGTGCTGTGCTGCTTTTTCCTCTGGGCTCCGTTCACCTCTTCATGAGCGTGTTCTGCCGAGCCCTTCAGAGAAGGCTTTGGGCAGGCTTCCTCTGCCCGGAAGTCTTCCTGCCACACGCTCTTGAATGGTAGTACAGCTGGGTATAGAGTCCTAGGCTGGCAGCTACTGCCAGTCTGTGAGGAGGGCATTGCCTTTGCCTTCTTCCGGCTCCTGCTGCCGCGGAAAGTGCGTTGTTTCTCTCTGTGTCTGCACCTGCCCCTTCATTCACGGGGCTTGAATCGAAGGATGGATGTCTTTCGTCACTTTTGGAGCCTTGTCTTCTAGCTGTCGGTTCGGATATTAACTTCTCATTCTTTGTATCCTTTCTTCCTAGCACTTCCACTTGGAGTGTTTTGTGCTTTCTCATTCTGTCTTCCAAGTCTCGTAAATATGAAAGAGGTTATCTCAGGCGCCCTCTTGGAAAAGGCCTCCGAACTTTTTCCAGTTCAGTCTTCTCTCCAGCTGTGTCTAATCTGCCTTCTTCTTCTTTTTTTTTTTTTGTCCAGTGAGTTCTTGATTTCAGTGACTAAATCACTAGAATTTTTTCTCAAATCTGTTATTTTTTGTCATATTTTTAATTCCTTTTATGCTTTTTAATCATTTAAAACAGTTTTCTAGCGTTTAACAGATTATTCTATTACCTGAAGTCCGTGAGGAGGTGTATAACCTGTGGGTTGCTTTCCACGCGTGTTCTGGTGCTTTGGGATTGCACGTTCGTTTGTCACAGAGCCGACTTACTGTGGGGACCGGTGTGGCTCCGGCTGAGAGGCCATCCCCCTCGGGCGGTCCCTACCTTGGCCCAGGCCAAGCACAAACGTAGTTGTTTCCCTGGATGAAAGCGTGTGTGTTTCTCACCTGCCTCTGCCACCCTGCTGGCAGGTCTCCAGTGTACTGGTGTCCCACCCACATGAACGTAAGTCAGGTTACGGCCTGCAAGCAGGGGAGAGCGCTAACAGCGCGGCGGACTGTTTCCCAGCCATGCTTGTTTAGGCTCAGGTACAAACCGCTTCGCCGCGCAGCACTTGTTCCGGCCTCAGCTTTCCTCTTCGGGTCTTTTTCTCAGCTTGTCAACCAGTGTTCAAGAGATGTGATGAGCAATACCTCTACTCTTTCCATCCATCCCTTATTCTGACTAAAGTTTTAAAAAGATGCCGCACAGCAGGGAAGAACGTTTGGGTGAATGTGTGCAGACACGTCCTCTGATTGGCCGAGTGACTGGAAGCAGCTGGAAGACAGTCCGTTGTCGGAGGACAGTGATGAGTCTGACCTTAGACCGACTCGAAGGCAAAAGAGACACGTGATAGTGTCCGACAGTGAGAGAGATTCCGAGGAAGATCGGGCAGAAAAAAGTATTTAACAGCCTTGGAGGATTATACAGATATTTCCGGCACAATTGAAGACCCACAAAGTATAAGTGAAGTAACCAGTTTATTTTTTAAAAATATATTTTTATTGATTTCAGAGAGGTAAGGAGAGGGAGAGGCAGAAACATCAATGACGAGAGAGAATCATTGATCAGCTGCCTCCTGCACTCACCCTACTGGGGATCGAGCCCGCAATCCAGGCACGTGCCCTGACTGGGAATCGAACCGTGACCTCCAGGTTCATAGGTCGACAGTCAACCACTGAGCCACGCTGGCCAGCCACCAATTTTTTATAAGGATTTTTTCTGTCTCATTACCTCTCAAACCAATTCATGCCATTACCAAATGCAAAAATACCACAAACCTCTGCTAAAACTGCACCATGGATGGATGTCACTTATATGGATATAAAGGAGATTCTTGGTTTAATTTTGTTGATGGAGCTAATGAAGAAGCCAGAATGCAAAGATGACTGGTCAACTGATCCTTTACTTGTTCACCCATATTTCTAAAAACTATGACTAGGAAGAGGTTCAGCTTCTTTTCTTTTGTTTTTTTGTTGCAACTTCCCGATAGACACGGGTGAAAGCAAAAAGTTCCAACAGACTGTTACCCGTCTGACACATTTTCCTGGCTCTTGGCCTCATATTTACCAAGATAATTGCTACTCAGTGTGCCCACAGCTGAGCTGTGGGAGGTGAACGCTGTTCTGAGGAGCAGGAAGGGGAGCCGTGGTGCTGGAACTACAGAGAGCAGCCGGTCTCGGTGGAGGACATGGCCCGTGGGGGCCTTGGCTTTGCGCAGCGTCCCCGCTGCGGCTCCGCGGTGTGCAGTGCCCACAGCTGAGCTGTGGGAGGTGAACGCTGCCCTGCGCGTGAGCGGCTGACGACCGGGCCCGGGGCTAGGTCGCGGGGGAGCCCCGCTCAGTCCCAGCCCCTGGGCTCGCGGTTCCCCGGACTCCCGGCTCTGCGAGCACCGTGTCCGCTGGACTGTCCAGCATCTCCGTGGTGGAAAGTGCTTGTGGCAGGAGGGTTTGTCGGGGAATGAGGCTCTGCCATGTTGCCACGAGTCGGCCGACGCAGTGCCGAGCGGGTCAGCCTGCCTCAGTCACTGCTTGGTAAATGCTGTGCAATGCGGGGTTCAGAGAGCCCGCCGCTCCCTGACTCTGAGGGTCCACAGCCAGAGGGAGCTGGAAGCACTGGCCTGAGGCAGAAGCACAGTCCCGGCCTGGCTCAGCGAAAGGATGAGCACAGCAAAATGCTTGGCTGTTAATAGACTTTGTGAAGAAAATATTCGGAAAATCATCTTTTTTCTCCACAGACTGAGGCCCAACGAGACCTTTATATCATATGCGCCAGCCGGACTCCCTCATTGGATAGCTGGGGACAGCAGCATAGAGGGCACAGCGTCCCAGAGCGTTTGTATCTGGCAGGGCCCCACTGCTCAGGCCACCTAACAGTGCACCGTTACTTACGCAGCGTGCTGCCCTCCTGTGGGAGTGTGGCTGTCCCTCCTGTAGGAGTGTGACGGCCCCTCCTGTGGGAGTGTGACGGCCCCTCCTGTAGGAGTGTGGCTATCCCTCCTGTAGGAGTGTGGCTGTCCCTCCTGTAGGGGTGTGGCTGTCCCTCCTGTGGGAGTGTGGCTGTCCCTCCTGTGGGAGTGTGACAGTGTGACGGCCCCTCCTGTAGGAGTGTGACAGCCCCTCCTGTAGGGGTGTGACGGCCCCTCCTGTGGGAGTGTGACGGCCCCTCCTGTAGGAGTGTGGCTATCCCTCCTGTAGGAGTGTGGCTGTCCCTCCTGTAGGAGTGTGACGGCCCCTCCTGTGGGAGTGTGACTGCCCCTCCTGTAGGGGTGTGACGGCCCCTCCTGTCGGGTGTGGAGTTGCTGTCAGCCTCGGGGTGAGCAATAGAAGGAAGGAAACCTGTTCAGCTCCTGCCCAGGTTCTGAAGCAGGTAGTGCCAGCCCGTCCGTGGAGGCCCTCGGTGGGCAGCTCACCGTCCCTGTGTCCGGCCTCTGCGCACGGAGATTCTCGTTGCTGACCGGCCCTTGCTGGCCTCCTGCCAACATTGATGAACTCTGGTTTGATATTTCCGGTTTCCATTGCCAGTTTTATACGCCCTTCGTCGAGGGGTCCTTGATCTGGAAACTGAGGCTGGACGTCCCAGGTCTGGTCTCTCACTAGCCCCTCAGATGGCGTGCTGTGGCTTCAGAGCCGGTGAATCCCCAGAGATGGGCCTGGGAGTGCCGTGCCCTGTGACGGTCAGGTCACTGCTCTCTTCTTTGAGCCTTTGGTTGACCTTGAGGTTGGAGCACAGTTTTCGAACGGATGACCTAGATCAGTTCTTTCCCTCTTCAGGACTGATGAAGCCCATGGTGCCCCCAGACTCCGTCAGTGGGACTAGCTGTCGCTCTGAGGATCAGAGCCGTGTCCCCCAACTGCAGGAAAGAAAAGTGACGGCCATCGACCCAGCCCCTGTGTGGAGCCCCGAGGGCTACATGGCACTGCAGAGCAAGAGCTACTCGCTGCCTCCCCCAAAACCCAGCGACACTTTGGCCATGGACATGCACGTCAGGTGAGACACACGTGGTCCTGCCAGCCTGCACCCACAGGAGACTCCCAGGAGACCCTGCCAAGGGGAAGGGCGCAGGAAGGACCTGCCAGTGCCTCTGGGAAGGAGAGCGTGGGGGTGGTGGCTTGGATGCTGGTGTGAGTCGCTTGTCTGATGGTGAGACTGAAGGCCCAGGAGAAATCGGTTCAAGGCGAGTCTCTGAATGGGGCAGGGCTGGGGCGGGGACTCTGGGCTCAGCAGGCCGGTTGAGCTGTGGGGACTCCTTCCTGTGAAAGCAAAGCAAGCTGGCCCCGCCGGCAGTGCCAGCCTCTGCGCGGACCCCAGGCTCCGGCTGATCGAAGCAGAGGATCCCGCCACTCTCCGTCTCCAGGTGGCACGCCGCGTCCACCCTCAGCCACCGCCTTCTTCACTCTGGACTCCAGGGCCACCCACCAGTCCGTGGCCCAGCCACTCTGAGACCTGTTTAAAGATAGAGGAAATGTTGGTGCTTATGTTTTTCTTTTTTTTTCTTTTTTCGTTTTTGTTTTTTACATTTTTTTCTTTTGAAAACTAAGCTCTGTGTTCAGCATGGAAAGCAGGAACCAGGCTCCAATCACATTGACTGGTTTTTCTGGTTCCTTTTCAGGAATGAAAGCGCTTACTCTGCCTCACCCGGAAGGTCAGGGGGCGTAGGTGCCCCGCGCGCTCCCCTTGAGGAGAGAGTGGAGGAGTACTTGAGTGCTTTTGACAAGAAGGCCCAAGCAGACTTTGACAGCTGTGTCTCTTCCCAAAGAAGAGGCCAGGAGCTTTTGTTTCCACCCCAAGACAGTGTGCAGGACGCAGGTGCTCCTCGGGGCCACACCCCAAACCTCCGGTGTTCCCCACTGGAGCCCGACTTTGCCCCGGCTGAGAACAAGCCAGACTATAGCAATTGGGACGTTAGCCCCCAGCCCAAGGCCGACACAGCCAACGGTGTGGACAAGGAGGCGCCCCGGGAGGAGCTGCCCTTCAGTGCCTCCTCCTGGGAGAAGGAAGGGAGCCCCCACAAACAGCCGTCCCTGGAGCCCGAGTGGACGCCCGAGCCCCGGGGCCCCGGCAGCCAGCAGCAGGAGCAGACCAGCAGGACCCGGCGGTCGGGGCCCATCAAGAAGCCGGTGCTGAAGGCGCTCAAGGTGGAAGACAAGGAGAAGGAGCTGGAGAAGAGCAGGCCGGAGCCGGGGGAGGAGGGCGCCCGCCCGCCCCCAGAGGAGGCGCCGCACCAGGACGAGGACGAGGACCAGGAGAACGACCCCACGCTGGCCAACGCCGCCCCCTCCGCCTCGGAGGCCCTGGGCGCGGCCCGGGCTGGCT